AAAAAGAGCGGGCACATGGGTAGAGAGACCTTACAACCGAGAATCTGGATCGTTGCAGCACCCTAGTGGCTAAAGGCCTCAAGCACATTTGATTTTCTTTTTCTTTTCTTTTTTCTTTTCCGACATCGCTCGGAGGAAATGTCCTCAGGCGACGTCCCCGAGGACAGGTGGAACGAAAGGCCCAAATTTCCTTTTGAAGAAGAAGGAATTTTTCTTTTTGCCCGAGGATTTCAATAGGAGTGTCCTTTACATTGTCCTTTTAGGGGCGATGGACCCCATTTCCAGCAGGTGCCGCTCCCCACCAATAGATGGAGCCTTCCCGGCAATGCTAGTGGTGCCTGCTTTTATCATCACCCCTTTTTTTCTTATTTTTTTTGTTGAAAAAGGCGCCCCCTTGGGTGATAGTGGTGCTGATAAGAGCAGACACCCGAAACTTCAAGAAGGTCAGAAGAAAGTATAACGAGACTCCTGGTGGAGAGACTCTACAACCCCATCTAGCTTCTTCCAAGCTGTCAGACAGGGTACCAGAGCAGAGACCGGGGTGTCGGCGTGGAAGCTCAATAATGGTAAACTGAAGAGGGATGCTTCAACTGTCCAGAGACTCGGCCTGGAGCAATGCTACGAAGTAAGGATCAAAGAACGGGTGAGCAAAGACGGCAGAACAATGTACATTCCCGTGAAGGAGGGTCCTCCATACAGCAACAGGAAGGTGGACGAAACGCGAACAGGATGGTACATCACTGCACAGTCATCCGCGGCGAACACGGTAACCTTAGCAGAATATTCCTCTAAGCTAGGCTACAAACTACACTCTAAAGCCGCATCCCTTCAAATCAGAGCATGGGACTCGTGGAACAATCAATGTCAGAAACTGCAGTTACCGGGGCCGAATCTGGCCTGGGTACATTTCTTCATCTGTACTATCCTGGAGATAATGGAAGTTAAATTGGCAGGCATCCAGTGGATGCACCTACACAATTGCGTCCCCACTGCCTCTTGGTGTGCAGAAAGAGGTATGGAGGTGTCACCAGTATGCAATGTCTGTCCGCACCAATCTCTGGAGGATTCCTCCCACCTACGGTGGGAATGTGTCGTGGCCAGGGGCTTCTGGGACTGGCTGAGCAGGCTATGGTTTGCAGCAGTCGGTTCGCTGTCTTATTGGACAAAGAGCCTGGTGCTCTTTGGGGATCAGTCTAGCTCTGCTAGAGCAAAGATTGGCAATAAGTTTCGGGTAATTGGCTTCTGGGTCCTCTGGCTAGCACGCAGAGACCGCAGGTTCAACCAGGTGTTCTGGTCAATTAGTCGCCTACGGACTCTACGCAATACTTTCAAATCAACAGTCCGTAGTCTTATCCTTGCAGAATGGAGGAAAATCAGGTCTCTTTTTTTTTTTTTTTTTTTTTTTTTTTAACAAAACACCCCCA